AAGTGTTTTTGTTTGTTTATTTGGTTGATTGATTGGGTTTGTTTGTTTTTTTGGCCTGTCAAATTGACAAAAATTTAAAAATCATACTAGCAAAGTTCAGAGAACAGGGAATTGGACAGCCTCATGCGATGCAGTTAAGAATTCGTGTGACCACAATGGAAGGCATTTTGGCAGTGTCTGCACAAACCTTAAGTATGTGACCCAACAAATTCCATTTCTAGAAATTTAATCTGACAAAATAATTGAGGATGTGGCAAACAACTTTTGTATAAGGATTTTTTATTGTGTTATTAACAATATTAAAAGAAATATCCCATATGTACAAGAAGTGAATAAATAGTTCAATTATAGTACTTTATAAAATTGAATACTGTGCCACCATTAAGACTAGTGTGGTAAAGAATATTTAATGACATAAACTATTACATGAAAAACAGATTACAGAACATTAGAACAAGAGTGCACACCCGAAAAAGGAAAATAAAAAAGCCAAAATGTTGATGTAGGTGGTAGGATTATGGGCGATTTTAATTTTCATCTTTGTGGTTATTGTAGAAAAAGCACAAAAAAGTATGTATTATATCTTAAACAGAAAAAAAAATTTGTTGTTGTTGTTGTTTTAAGTCAAATCAATTAGCACATTCAGGAGACTGAATGGAAATAGTATACCACTCTGTCCTGGCCCAGGGTGCCATGGGCTAAGTTTTACTCAGGGTGTCACATAGTTAAATCTGCTAAAATACAAGATGTGTGCACGTGTGATGTCAGTTGTACAATTCCCATAGGCTGTTTATTGGTGCAGAGATCTCTCTAGCCAGGAGGGTCTCTAGCTGAACGGGGCATCTAGGCAAAAGGGAGAAAAAAGGAGGAAGAAGGAGGAGGAGAGGGAAAGGCAAAAGGTGTGGAGGGCTGGGAATGCTACACTGACTGGGGAGCCCCAAGGATGATCAGAACAGAGCGGGTATAGAAACAAGCATATCCGGAGGCGCTAGAATGAATATTTCTCTGCCTTTGCATGTCAGGGGGCTGGGCAGAATGTCTACAGCCACTGTGCAGAGGGAGGTACCTGATGCATTTCCTTTTTCCTCCTGCCTCTGTCTGTCCTTCCAAATACCCAAATGTTTGCCCCCATCCTCTCTGCCCCTTTTGACACAGTCCCTCCATGTTTAGAGTTGTTCCTGTTAATTCCCCAGGGCCAGGAGCGGTAGACCTCAATCCTTTGGTAGATCCCAAAGCTTTTGACTTCTCAGTTAGTGACTTCCACTGGCTGCTTTGGAGAATTCTCACCAGGGCCTGGAGGCTGACTCTCAGCTGCTCCCTGGGCTTTGGGTGAATCATGAGCAATTCCTCTTGAGGGTGCCTCTGATATGTGCCCATCAGAGGAATATTGAAGGTTATACATTTCTGCTGGTGGGATCTTCAGACCCAATATTTTTCATATTGATAAGGAATGTTAATAAATGGATCTAATTCAAATCAACTGCAGATGGCAGTGGGTAGGTTGTGACTTATCTAATCCATATCCTGTTTTCAGATGGTGTCTGAACTAAAAGACCATCTTTTGAGACACCTACAGGGTGTAGAAAAGAAGAGAATTGACCAGATGGTTCTGGACTACGTTTCAAAACTGGTTGGTTTTGCTTTTTGTTCTCTACCCCCCTGGGCCACCGGTATATAGTTCCCAGTATGTGGTTCAGTATGTTTTTCAAATTAGGCTTTTGGAGGTCTCCCATCCTCAAACCAGTATATTTGGTGCTATAGATTGAGGAACAGGAAAAAAGAACCAAAAACAATGAGAACTTGGTTTTGAAAGTGGTTTATTGCACTCCCTTCAAATAGTGATTATATGCTCATGGAAGCACAGAACGGAGATGAATTTAGCATGGTTGCTGAATGTTCACGTCTCATCTTGGCATCTTCCAGCTCCTTATTAAATAGTAGGTAATGATTTCTGTACGTGGAGATTTATGCAGACATGAAAGAACTTGAATTCCAGTTCTTAATTAGCTCCAATGGCCCACTTAGGCCAGGTTCCAGCTCAGTTGTATAGATACTACCACATTAGAGTCTGCTGCTGAGATTGACAGCTCATCTACCTGGTAGCCACTTGCTGAAATTGTGAGACCCAAATTAGTATCACCAGTTCATGTGTAAATAGAAGTGATATTGCTAGATTGAACTTTGAGGCTGTCTTGAGTCTTTCAAAAAGCATACGGAGTTGAGGCCTGACTCTGCTTAGAACCTAGACATAAAATGCTGGACAAATTAAAAAAAAATTTTTTTTATTGGTGTCATAATAGTTTATAACATTGTGAAATTTCAGTTGTACATTATTATTTGTCAGTCACCATATATATGTGCACCTTTACCCCTTATGCCCTCCCCCCAACCGTCTCCCGCTCTGGTCCATGTATTTGTTTATCTTCCTGGACAAATTTTTAAAAGTATTTAAATACACAGAAAGAGAACACTCCATTTTTCCAAGTTTGGGTAAGACCAGAATGCAAGTGAGCCACCGTGCAAACATATACTTTTGCATTGAACTCTGGAAGATTAGTTAAATTTATTAGATATGTCCCTGATTTAATTTCATGTTTAATCTTGAAGTTTCTGCCTTTATGGTAGACATTAGTGACTGTTTTTAAATTATATCTTTGAATTTCTACAGTAAGGTTTAAGTTTCATAGTTTTTCATGTATTAGGAGAGGTTGGTATTCTCATATACTGATATTTATAATTAGGGCACTGAAGTTTTCTTAAATAATTAAATAATTCCTAAATAATTTTTAATAATAATTCTCTTTTCTTAGATAATTCTCCTTTGCAGGAGAACTATACTGAGGAGCTCACGTGGTGAATCTGTTACTGATATTCCCCATGTTGATTTTAACCTACTTTCTTAGTCCTTTAATCACACATGACTATTTAACATGTCTACCTGTCACTGTTCTTTCTGTTGACTTTAAGTGTCACCTTCCAAAGTGTTAAGGGGTTTTGTTCAAGCATCATTCTTCCCCATAGTTAGTCATATAAAAGTTTTAATGCTAGTTTGTGTTAACAACACCTAGAACCAATAGGACCAGAAATGGTACAGATGTAGGCTCAGAAAACTCAGTGCCCCTGACTTTCCGCCTCAGCAGTCACTGACTGAGGCCAGTTCTGCCCGCCTCTGCCCAGCAGCACACGGCCATGACGCCTAGGCCCCTCTCAGGAGGGTGGCTGGACAGCCTTTCTAAAACAAATCCTCGCAAGTTGCTGCAGACCTGATGATATTGCTTACGTGTTGTCTTTCCTGATTTCAGCCAAAGAGAAACTGAGAATCTGTATCACTGAGAATAAATAGCATTTGTCTGTGCCTGTATGGAGGCCCTTTCTGAAAGATATGCCCCTGTTCTCAGGCCACGTATGCAGTGCGTGGATTCGTGGCTGGTAACAGCTCCTCAGAGACTGCCCTGTTGCTGACAAACTAGAAAAGTATAGACCCTGGCCTTGAAACCAGTCTCACTCCACAGCTCACGCGTAGGACCTCCATTCTATTCAGTATCTCCTTCTCTCTGACTGTCAGCTGTTGGCCCTTGTCACATAACAGGCCTGGAGCAAACCCGGCTGCAGTTGACCTTCATCCATGGCCAAGGGCCTGGGAGTGTGAGCAGGGGGCCTGTTGGTGAGGCCGGGAAGCTCAGCTGAGGCACTGCCCGCACAGACAGAGGGTGCTCTGTTAGACTCTGGTGCTCATTTTCAGTCTTTCCATCTTGGATTCCAGTGCCTCAGAATTGACCTCAGAAAGGCTGGTTCTGTATCCGGGCACAGCCTGAATGCCAGCTGCCCTGAACATGCCCGTCAGACCTGTCGCAGGGTGGCTGTGGGGCCCCTGAGGGAGAGAGTATGAGCCGACGTTAACAGACTGTCTTTACCTCCAGCTGGATCTCATTTGCCAAATCCTGGAAACCAGCTGGACGAAACATAATCTTCATCCCTGCATTCTCCACTTGTACGCAAGTATCTCTCGCTCTCTTTTATCATAGTGTACAGAAAGCCAAACGACTCTGATTGCTGCCTATTGTAGCAAAGCCTTTTTGAAACTTACCAGTTGAAAGCAGTTCTCAGCAGCCCTGACATCATCTCTCTTAGTTCTGTACTCAGCATTAGAATGGCCCTGTTAATCACCCACCTCTTTCCCTGGCATATGGTTGATGAGGAGGGAAGGGCACATGAGCTCAGTACTGCCAAGAAGGGGAATTTAAGTTAATACAGTTGATCATTTATGTGCCTCCTGTCTGGTTAGAGTCTAGGCATTAGGCTGATGGTCGCCACCATATTTATGAGGATTTCTATGGGGCATAGCCTTTCATGATTAGCAAGAATTCCCTCTGTATGTGGTACTCAGAGCCACTGCTTAGACAATTGGGGTTTTAGAGACGAGCTCCTTGGCTGACATGCTGCTCTGTTATTTTCCCAGCCACAGGCGGGCTAGTGCTGCTGAATTTGCAGTCTTTCACATCATGACCAGGATTTTGGAAGCTACTAACAGTTTGTTTTTACCTCTGCCTCCTGGTAAGTCTCGGCTCTTTTGTCCTTTGTTGTAATAAATTTGTTCTATCTTCTTCACATGGTGCCTGGACTTTGGCACATTGTGAGTTCAAGGATGAGACCTCCTGTGTGTGAGAAGTTGTGTGTCTGGTGTCACTGTGAGAGATGGGCCTGAGGTTGGTCTCTGCTGACCAGATCTCCCCCAATTATTGAACTCTACTGTAGCTTGTCAGTAACTGTGGGGAGCCTAGGCTGGTCCCCTGCAACTTTTTAGGATACTTTGAACCAGCGGAGCTGATTCAGGGAGATATTTCTCTGATGTCTTCAGGCCTAGTTTATCTGATGGAGAAAGTTAACATTCAGAAGGAAGTGGGTCTGACTGGGTGTCAGAAATTGAGCTGATTCTTATGTGCTTGGAAGCTAAAAGTTTTCCTTAGGATTTTGAAACAGGACCAAATCAGGCCTCAAAACATCCTTGGCACATGTGTATGCAGTCATTCATTTAATTGGTCATTTGTTCATTCAATCAACAAACATTTATTATTATTACATGCCAGGTACGGTGCTAAAAATTAGAGCAGTTACAAAAGTTGACAAAAGTCTGGTTGGGAAGATGTGCATATAAATTGGTATTCATTATAAGAAACAAATAAGCTCCTGTTTGCTATAAACTACCTGCCTTATGTTCATGACAGATAAGTTCTGAGGAGTGTTAAGCTTTATGATAGCTATCACTACATAATATGTATCAGCCAATTTTATTTAATCTATTAATTCCTGTACATCTCTCCATCCATCCATCCATCATTAATTCATTCCTTTATTTGTTCATTTTAAGCCAACATGTATGTGGTGCCCATTTTGTGCTTGATAATGTTCTAAGTACTTTACATAAATTAGCACATTTAATTTTCATAACACTCCTAAGTGGTAGGAGTTTAAGTTGAACCACATTAAACTGTCAATATCCAACCATTTTTTTGACCAACAAAAATTGTACTTTCATGTGGTTCCACTTAATATTATTCTCATTTTAGAGATGGTGAAATTGAGGCAGAAAGTTTAGGTAACTTGCCTAAAGTCATACAGCTATTAAGCAACAGAGCCAGTATTCAAATGTAGGCAGTCTGGCTCCAAAATCTGTGCTTTTAACTACTATTCTCTGCTGCCTCTTGAGTTTTATATTCCAATTGAATTATTTAATGCTGAAACATTGGCTATTTATGGGCCCTGAAAATCCCCACAGCACATTGCAGCTTCTCTGCATTTCTGATATATCTGATATGGTTTGGAATCCTCCTTGCTTTCTCTATCCGTACACCTTATTTTATAAGGTGTGCTTGTAGTGGGGTACAGAAGGAATCTCTTTTGACTTTGTAGAGATCTGAAGGTGACGATTCATGAGGAGAATGGATGGCTTTAAATTATCCCAATGAATGTGAACTGTGAGGTGTCCTCTAGAAAGAGTGAAGGGATTTCATGAAAAATATATATGGCTTTCTGGCTTAAATTCTTAATTATTTGTCACTAACACAAAAGACTTGGTAGAGGAATGGATTGTCACTTTCAGATTTGTTCACCATGGATGTTCAAGCTTCTTTTGTAAATAAATGAAACTGACTTACTGGGGACAATATTATACCTGGGAGATCATAGAAATCTTTTCTGTAGAACATCGTATTCCTTCACAGGGATGGATGAGGAGGGAAAACAGAAAAATGTTATCTCTAGTGATTGAGAGTTATTTAAGACTTAATGGCTTCTGTCCATGGATCAAGTAAGGAAGAGCAGTTTCTCTCTCCCTTTTTCTTCAATGTTTGTTTCCCTCGTGTGACATGGAAACAGAAGTGAAGCGATGCTGGATTGCGTGTGCGTGTGCATGTATGTGTAAATACAGGGCATTTTTTTGTGTACGTGTGTAAGTGCGCTTGCTTTCCAGGCCTGCTAGACTAGTGAGAACTATTTGAGTTCTAAGTGTCAGAAACTTGTAACCTGAATTGGTTAAAGAAAAAAGGGAATGAGGACCCCAAAAAGGAGGTCATGGTTTAGAGCTGGAGCGTTTGCAGTTTAAAAGGGACCGGTGTTTCCCTTGCTGGCTAGAGGAGGCCAGGAACCTGGAGGATGAGGACTCGAGTTGGCTGGAAAAGCTCTCTCTTTCAGAACCGATGCCTACTTTCAGCCAATTTGCTCTGTTGCTTAGAGCTGACATGCAGAGAGGAGGCCAAGAGTGGGCTATTGAATTTGGGACTGTGCCCTGGGGGTAGAGGATGCAGGGTCATTAGGGATCTTTAGGACATGGACACAGGGCTGAAGAAGGAATTTTGAATCCGAGAAATCTATAGGATCTATAACTTTTTATAAACTTTTCTTCAGAAATCATAACTTTTTTTTAATCCTGAGAAGAATGTCCAAATCCACTTGAAGAATCTCATGTTGTTGACTAGCTAATCAAGTCACTATTTTTTTTGGATTCAGGGAAGCTAGTGGACTCATCTCGTTGTCAGCCCATTAATATCTGCCGTGGGCAGAGTCTGCGGTTTATCTGACCCTTGACGTTGCCAGCACTCAGGACTCAAATCCCCCACTGCTCATGATTCATGTGCTCAGAGCAAACGCCATGATTTCTCTGAATCCAAGTCCCTGCTCTTTGGCCATCATTTCTTTGTTCATGGAAGGTCCTAATATTAGGCTATGAGTCCTTGCCGTTCCCCACCCACAACGGATTAGTTCCCAAGCGGGTACATGTTGCCATGCCTCTCCCATCCCTTCCCTCTCTCACTATCTCTGCCCTCATTATCTCTTGCACAGGTTTATGCACTAGCTTCCCAGCAGGTCCCCAGCCATCCTTTGCCTGTTGCCATTTTAATATTCCAAAAGTAAAACTCGAATCCTTTTTCCATTCTGCTCAAAAACTGTCAGGGCCTCCCCAAAGTTTACTAAATAATAAGTTCAGTCAGCATTCAACCCCTGTCACATGCACTCAGAGCACCCTGTACTTTTCTTCAAAGAAATGGCACATTTAAAAGATGTGTATTTATTTTTGTGATTATTTGGCTGTCTGTCTCCTCCATCAGACTGGAAGGTAGATGGGAGCAGCCATCCTGCCTGTTTCTCTCATTACTGTCCGCCCAGCCCCTCGCCTGGCGTGTGGAAGGGATTTGTTGAATGAAACCTTTCTAGCCTTACTTGCCATCATTCCTCTTGGACACCTGATTCCAACTCAAGGGGATCATTCAATCTTTTCTGAACGTGCACCATACTTTCTCATCTTTGGGCCTGTGTTCATATTGTTCCATTAACACCACTACCAGTTATTGAGGCAGGACAATGTTATGGGTAGAAGCCGAGGCTAAAATCCCACAGCCTGTGTTCAAATTTCGGCTCTGCCACTTACTATTTATAGGATCCTGTGCAGATCTCTTAGCTCCTGGGAATCTCGGTTTCTGCATTTATAAAGTGGGGATCACCTCATTGTGTTCTATGAGGACCAACTGAGCAGTGTGTAGACTGAAGGCCTCTGTACGTGTTGGTGTTAGCCACTCTGTTACACCACGTGCCAGGCTCTTCACAGACCGGCTCTAGTTCTCAGAGCAGCCCTGCGGAAAAGATGCTGGTGAGTCCATTTTCGGGATGAAGACACAGAGACTCAGAAAGGCTTAGTTACCTACACCCAGTAAGCAGCACAGCAGGACTCTAGCCTCGCTCTGCTCATGCCCAGCCTGGCTTTTTCTCCTGTCTCCACTCTGGTAGAGTCTGCTCTCACCTCATTCCCACTCACAGGGATTTCATTTACCCTTCAAAGCTCCTCTCACATGCCATCTTTTCCAAGAGGGCTTTTCTGAGTCTCTCCTGGCCTGATAGCTGCTATTCGCGTGGATGTTGTTCTTATCCTTTATTATTAATCGTGTACGTAGAGTGCTGGGTTTGTGAGTGTCTGAGTAGCCCTCCTCATAGAGACTTCAATTTGAGAGAGTGCCTTCCTCTCTATGAATTCCTGTAGATTTGCTACCAGACCATATCATTTTAATTCTTCTTTTCTATAGTTTAGTGCAAGTAGACCCCAAAAGCCTTTCTCTAGGGCATACCCAGAGATCAGACATATAAACTGTCCCTTTCTGGTGCAGATTTTGTCCCCTTCACCAAAATGGTGCTTGTCCATCAGCTCTTTATCCTGGGCACATGGGATTGAAGCTCTTCTGTTCATTTTTCTCTTTGGCCGTTTTACCGTAGAATCGCAAATCTTAAACTGTGAAACCATTTTTCATCGAGCAAGCCTTGCCCTCTTTTTGCCTGGGAAGGGATGCAAGGTGAAGGGAACACAAACTTACTGGGAACTGAGCCATATACCCAGCACAATACTTAGTCGTGATAACACCAAGAAGGAAACTTGGACCTTGTTTTCAAGGAGCGTTTATTTGACTCTGGGTGCTAAGCACTGACTAAGTGCTGTATTAACATTGCCAGATTCATTCCCTCTGGAAGGCTGGCCATGCTGCGCCACCGTGTTACCCTCCCGGATCTCTCCTCCTAGGTTTTCACACTCTGCACACGATCCTTGGCGTCCACTGTCTCCCGTTGCATAACCTGCTGCATTACATTGATAATGGAGTGTTGCTTCTCACAGAAACAGCTGTCACCAGGCTCATGAAAGGTAAGAGGCTCTGAGTTTGCCAGAGGCTGCTTCCAGTCTGAGCACCACCAGGACTGGCTCCATGGGTGTGCCGCCTGTGTGGGCACATAGGGCCTGCTGCCCTCAGAAGGGCCTCACGCTCGGTTTAATGCTCTGCATTAAATCTTGAAATTCTTAATATTTGAACAAGGGAATCCTCATTTTCGCTTTGCAATAGGCTCCACAAATTGTGCAGCTGGACCTGCTGAGGACAGATCATTTCCTGTAAGCATCCATTGGGCCAATTTAAAGGGCCTTAGCCCTTCAAGAGGCCCCAGAGGGCTTCTCAGTCCACACACAGCTATTAGATTCCTGTTCTGTGCAAGAGGGCACTTGAGGATAGGAGACTCTGAAGGCTCAATTTCTCAAGAAAATATCATGAAATGGCTGACTTTCAGCTGACTAACTCTGTCACCTCAAAGTTAGACTTGAAATGCAAGAAGAATTAATGAGAAATTCAGTGCTTATGTGAATTTAAACTTTAAATTAGGTCTGTACTGTAATCACTCTCACATTATTCAACTGTGGTATTTTATAGATGAGTTTCGTTAATTTATATTAAAGTATTTGCCATTCCGCAAGGTGCCTTCTGTTTTAAGTTAGCCTGTAAAATTGCTCTGTGACTGGCAGCGTGTTACAGAACCATGTCCCATGATATATACAAACAGCTTCATTAAAAAATCCCTTTTTATTGAGAGAGACACAAACTAAAATTTTCAAAGTCTTGTTAGACTTAGCTTGAAATATAAGGTTGGGACATGTATTATCAGGATGAACCACTGCAGTATTATTAGCTTGCTCAGGTATTAAAATGGAGATTTCTGGATTTTTTTTTCTTTTTTGCCAATTTCTAACTTTCTTATAGATCTGGACAATACAGAGAAAAATGAAAAACTAAAATTCAGCATCATTGTGCGACTTCCTCCGGTAATCCTGAATTATGTTTTATTTTCTCCCTAAGCCTTGGCATAAACCTCCTTCCATTTCTTCTTACAAGGAGAGCATTTACTTGCTTTGGGCTAAAGTCAATTGAATTGTTTCACTTTTCAGCCCTTTCCAAGCAATCCCATCCATCCCCACCCCTCTGTTGGCTGCTCCCGCTGGGCCTACAGAGTGCTTGCTCCGCTGGCTTTGTAATGCCTTGGCACAGCCCACCTAGAACATTTAGCCATTTTCTCCTCTTAGGAAACCACACTAATATTTACATCTGTGAGTCTGAGGGGAAACATGTGCTTTTGGCATTTAAACTGATAAGAAATTTAAACACAGGTGAGGTCAGAAGGTTCTGGAACTGCATTTCCTCCCACTATCGTTTCTACCATGGCAGGAAAACATTGCTGAGTCGAAGGAAGAACAAGAAACATGAAGGAAAAGGTTATAGAGGCACTCTTTGTTTCTGTGGGGGATATTAGCTCTCTGAGTCAGAAATACTATGAAAATATGAAATTCCACAGCAAGGTCTTCAGAGCCCCTGACTGCGAACTTCCTGACCTTGAGAGCCTCGGCCAGCGCTGTGTGCTGTTTACATACCTTGACACGGCGCTCGTATCTCTGGCACAGTCCTCCCACGAAGGGATGTTGTTGCCTTTCTGGACCTAATTGTCTTGCTTTGTAACACCCGCTCTCACTCATGGGTTTACTGAAGCAAAGGCAAGAATGGAAAACAAAGCATATTTTCCATGGCTAGGTCTCTCGGATGAATGTCCCTGAACATTTAGTTTGGTCTCCAAATTTGATTTTTTTGCCTCCTACCTTTAGGGAATTAAAATTTTCTGGGCAAGACATGGGCAAAGAAGTGGATATAAACATACCTACAACCTGTAGTTTCCTATCAAAATATCACTTAGAGTTGGCATGCAGATACCCAGTTTTGAAGAGTAGCAGATGAACTCCATTTCAGAAGAGTTTGGCAACATCAGTGTATCAACTGCTTTTACCTCAGGATTGCATTTAAGGGAGTATTTATTCAACATTCAGAAGCATACCTCATAGGAAATGGCCTTTCTTGAAGGTCATTAACCATAGAGGGCCTGTCTTTAGACTAACTAGCTACTTTGGAATAATACCTTTAAAATTATGAATAGATATGAGATACATTTACTTAATGCAATGTGAGCTATATTCTCCTATTTTTTCCATCCTTTTATTTTCTTTATTGACTTTGTTTTTTAGAGTAGTTTTAGGTTCACAGCAAAATTATGTGGAAGGTACAGAGATTTCCCATGCACCCCCTGCCCTCACACATGCACAGCCTCCCCCATTATCAACATTCCCACTAGAGGGTGTATTTGTTACAATTGACGAACCTGCACCGACACATCATAATCACCTGAAGTCCATATTAGGCTTCACTCTTGGTGTTGTTCATTCTATGAGTTTGGACAAATGTATAATGAGATGCATCCATCATTATAGTATCATACAGGGTATTTTCACTGTCCTAAAAATCCTCCTCTACATATTTTTCAATTTGTATAACAGCTCATTGGTCAGAAGATCTGTCGACTTTGGGATCATCCCATGAGTTCTAACATTATTTCACGGAACCATGTGAAGCGACTGCTTCAGAACTATAAGAAACAGGTGAGTCAGTGTGAAAGCACAACCCAACTAAATGTTTTTTGGATCCTATTTGCCCATTTCAACATATCCATATGGACAGCAATTGTAGTTCTTATCATTTTAAGTTTGTGCTTGATTTGGAGAGTCAACTGACACCAGAGTGGTTTCTCTTTTAGCCTCGGAGTTCTGTGATTGACAAGTCGTCATGCAGTGTAGAATTTCTGCCTCTGAACTACTTCATTGAAATCCTGACAGATATAGAATCCTCCAGTCAAGGTAATGCATGCCTCTGCTCTCCCGTGTTCCTGCTTTTCCCTTGACACATCAGTCAGTCCCTATTCACTTCTGTGTATCCTTTTCTTTCCAAATTATCCCCTACTTCTAAGTAGGTCCTTATCGCAATTGTTTTTTTTTTTTTTTTTTTAAAGATTTTATTTATTTATTTTTTCCCCCCAAAGCCCCAGTAGATAGTTGTGTGTCATAG